GGCCCTCAAACTTCCGCACCATCCTCCCGGCAACAACGTCAAACAACCGAACGACAAAATCGTCCGCAACAGCCGCCACAAGTCCGTTCTGACGGTGGTAAACGATCCTCACGAGCGAACAACCAATCTCCCATCTCGATCTAAACCCCCGCCTCTTAAAATCCCAAACCTTAATATCTCCGTTAATTCCGCCGCTAATCAAGACAGTGTTTGTCGAATCACAAGCGACCCCAATCACCTCTCCGTCGTGGGCCCCACGCACTTTTTCCGATTTATCGACATAACTCCCTCGGCTGATCCCTGACTGCAGGTTGAATCTCTCGATCCACCCGCCGGCAGTCCCCAAAACAGCGAAATTCCCACAGGCGCTAATGGCGCAGGCGCGTACGGGCTTTCGGGCCTTCGGGCTCGGGACCAGAATGTGCTCCCCAATCACGAAGTTCTGGAGCCTCCACACGTAGGCTCGTGAGGAATCCGCGTGGCATGTCACCACATTGCACCAGTCGCGCTCCCTAATCTCGGCCACATCGAAGGCGATGACGGGTGGGAGCTTCATCTCTGACTCCCTTCGCTTGAGCTTCCGGGCCCGCTTGGACACGTGGCGCTGGGAGAGCTCCCGGCTCTGCTGGTCCTGCACGACTGAGAAGAGGCGGAAGGCCCTGTCCTGGCCAGCAGAGAGCACGTGTCTTCCATTGGCGTAGAACCGAATGCAGAGGGGAGGGGCGCTGTGGCCACTCCTGAACCGAAGGAGGCGCGGGTCCCCATCTGTGGTGTCGAAGATCCACATTTTTATGGAATTGTCGGCAGACGAGCTCACGAGCACGGGCTCGTTCGGGAGGAAGCGGAGAGAGACGATAGGGCGATCGTGGGCCTCGCCTATCACGGACTGGAGCCTCCGTTTTTCGAGATTCCAGATTGTTATGACGCCGGACGAGCCGCCGGAGGCCAAAAGGGGCCGCCCGTCTGTGCAGAAGGATAGGGAAGTAACCGAGCCTCGAGTGGAATGGGCGAAAGTGATGACTTCCTCGTCGTATTTGATGTTGTGTACGTGGATTTTGCCGTCCGAGCAGGCGATAGCGACCACATCTAGGGCTGGGGATGAGACGCAACAGGTTATGGCGGAGTTCCAGCCTTTGAACTCGTAGAGCATTTTCTTGGTGCTGATGTTCCACAGCTGCAAAGAACCTTCTTGGCTTCCGACGAGTATCTGTTCCGATATATTTTTAAGGAATGCGTTTTAGATTATATGTGAAATGGAGAGGAAAGGTTGTGTTTTGGTGGGGAGGAGAGGAAGTGTACCTTGTTTAGATAAGTATCTGGATGCATTATGCAGGTTGGCGTGAATTTGGTTCCTAGTGAAATACGACCAACAGGAGATGTATTCTCGGTTATCCCTTTAAATGCCCAGATGAAAATGTTGCCACTGACATCTACGCTTAAAATGTAATCGCCAAAAAGTAGCAAGTGATTGACCTTAGCTTCGTGGCTTTCCCAGGTCGCCACCTGCGAGATTGTTAGCAAAATTCTTCAGCTGATGGAAAATGATCATTCCCATGCAAAAGTGAGAATATCTCGAATAATCGGAAAAGAAGAGTTCAGCATATCTAAACTAGTAAGGAACATGGATGGGAATCGAACTCGAAATAATTCACATGACTCACACCAAAATATTCACAGAGATGTCTTCTCTATGTTTTTATCCTTTGCACTTTACAGAGGAAGCACATAAAACAAGGAAGTAAGCAATTTAAAATTCTCATAATACCTGATGAGCACGTTTAAAAACAGCAACATTATGTCCATATGCGGCAAACGTGTAGTCTCGATATGAGGCTAAAGCTCTTATTTTCTTTGGCAGTTGAGGCCCTGAATTTTCACATGTTAAAATAAAAAAGTTAGACGTAGAAGGCAACCAGAATCATGTAGTAATTCAATAATAAGTCCTAAATCAAATCTAACAACAAAACACAGTTACGAACCTCAAAAGACATGTATTTTGATCCAAGCCGGGAGAAAAAAAAAATGCTTTGAGAGAAAAAGTGCTAAATATTGAAAACGTAATTTTAGCTGGCTGTGCATCAGGCATTTTAAAAAGAAAACATTTAGCAGCAACCAGCTGACAACTAAATAAGCATTAATATTCAAAATTTGTTCGAGAAAATCAAACTAGTAACTAATAATTCGAGAAAATCAAACTATTAACTAATAAAATCTCTAAATTTCAGTAACACTAAAAATTGCAGATACAAGAAAAAGAAGAACTAACCGACGAGTACTAAATTGAGCTTCCCGCACTGCAACAAATTAAACAATGTCAATATTCTCAAGGCGAGGACACAAACTATTCTCACAAAAAAATAAAAATTGGTAAGCGTGGATATTAAAACCAAAAAACAAGATCGAAGCTATTCCCACAAATAAATTGAAGACTAAAAACAATAAAAGAAGATTGAATAGTACATTGTAAACTTGGAAGGCCTTGCCGACGCTAACTGTGACAAATGTTTCCGTACCGAGCCGCTGTATTGAGAAGGGCACATGAGATGTTATATACCCAATCGCTCGAAATGGTTCGAATATCCCCATTCTTAATCAAGGAAAAATATTTTGAAAAAGATGAGATGAATAAGGAAAGATAACTATTTCAGAACTATTATCAGCCCAACTCCGGATAAAGACGGAGGCTCGGCGGCGGGGAGAGGGGCGGAGGCTGGGCGGTGGGGAGAGGGTTTTTTTAGGGGTTATGGGACAAAGCTTTAGGATT